GGGGGATTGTCAGGTGTGTGTGGAAGATCTCCCAAAATGTAAGTAACTCCTAAAAGTCTAACCAGAGAGGCAACTTGCTATCTTTGTACTTTTTTCAGCAAAAGAAAAGGATGTTGTCACAGGAAAAGCTTCAGTGGGTAATTTCAAAACGGAAGTGTTTGATGGCCACTATAGCAGGCTACTCCTGAATTACTTATCAAAAAAATGAAAGAAGAAAGAAAAGCTACTTACTCTTTTTCATCGTTTATTTGTTCTTTCTTGCTATAATGTAAACAACAGTGTTTAGGATACTGGATCTCTTTTAGTACATTTCATGCATCAGCTTGATTATGGCCCAAGCCTCATGACCACCACTATTAGGTAGCTAAACACTATATGATATGATATTCCTCTTATTACTTCTAACAAAAATATCAGAAGTAGCTTCAGGAACTGGATCGTGTTGGAAACCCATTGGAAACGGGTGGCTGGGGTGAGGCTTTATGTTCCCCTCTAAGGATCTCAAGTCTCGTTAATTAATGACATTTGAAAGAGTGTGTCTGTCTTCGTGAGTACAAAATTGCTGCAATTTCTTATTATCTCTGAAATGACTGCTTCTTGATTTTCTCTTGTAGGATAAAAAGGACAGGAGGATCCTAGAACTGTCCATGGAGTTGGAGCATCAGGATAAATTATGTGACCTTTACAGAGAGCAGCTAATTACTCTTTTGGAAAATGTTGAGCAGCAGATGGAGCTTTTGTCAAAGAAAATTGAAGTAGCTGTCAACAATGTAAAAGAAATAGAAGCAGAAGTTCAAAAGCCACCCAATAACCAGTAGCCATGTGTAAGTATTTAGATGTTATGGTGTTATCCTTTTGTAGCTTGACAAAACATTTGATTAGCGTAATCTGCCCATATTGGAAAAGTGGAGAACAAGAAGGAGAAACTGGAAAAGACAAGTTTTGCCGGCATGTTATGTCACGTTTTGTTCATCTAACGTCACTGAAATTTATTTCACAGTATTATGTAGCTTCTTGCTTGCTAGTTCAGATTTATATTGTATAAACTCAAATGATTTGGTGGAAGCTGATGGAATCCGCCTGCTACTAGTCCCGAGAATGTTAACTGCTCTTTATTTGGTCAAATGCAGCTGAAGCAGTCTTAGTTTTTAGCTTACGAGCAATTGTAAAAGAACACGGACAGTGCATCAAGCAGAGGTTAGGAGATTGTTGACGCATAATTGCGGTAGTTTACAGTGCTTAAACTAGCTTTGGAGTATATTGACATATAGTTGTGTAATTTAAATTGCTTAAACTAGCTTTGGAGATTATTGGTGTTTAGTATACGTATATGTAAAGTTGGTCAGTGATGGGTGCAGAGCATGATTTATAAGTTTGTGGCCTTGTGGGTAAATAGCTTAGCGTACATATTCGTATAATCGTATGCTATGGGAATTGACAGGGTTCTTAAAGACTTCAATCACAGTGGATCTGAGCAGTAGCATTTTCTTGCATATATTTGTATGTCTATTTTTTGCTAGTCTCTTTCAAACTCAGATTCGATCACAGAAGGCTCAATCTTTTATGCGAATAAAGTCAATAATTTAATCAATGTTATTTAATGTTTTTTGTGTCTAAAATTGGCTAAAATAAATGTCCGTCTAATTCAATTTAGTCTTCACTGAAATTGATATGTGGTGGTGCCCCATATGATCTCACATCATCAACGTAGTGTTACACTGATTTCCTATAGCCAAAGGTCATGGGGGTGAAGGGACCGCCTTCAGTAAGAAAAGGAGGAGGAGAAAAGGGGATTAGAGGATAGAGAGAATAAGAGAAAAGGGAACAGAGAGAAGAGAGGAATATAATTATTTTTTTTGTCAAAAGATCCACCAGGTTGGTGGAGGGTTAGGAGTAGTCCTAACCTATATATAAACCAAACAACAAAATTAGGACATAGACCACAACCTCCAAAGCATGATGAAAAATGATGCTAGTCATTTCTATGCAAAAGAGATGTAGCTAAGATATGGGAGGACGACTCCATTACAATATTTGAACAACCAACTATAAAGCACAAAGCTAAACAGTTTAAGTGTATAATATAGTTAAGGGCAAAGGTCCAAATATGCCCTTGTACTATATGAAATTGGGCACATTTGCCCTTCGTTAATACTTTAGCTCAAATATGTCCTTACCGTCATATAGTTGGTCCATATATGCCCTTAGAGTTACACAGTTGGCCCATATATGCCCTTTTCGAAACGGAATTCACCCAAACTAATTAGCTCTTTCGTTAATTGTATTACAAACACTATTTTCTTTTTATTAGTACTTTTTTTTTCTTTACCTTTCTCTTTTCTTTCTTCTTTTTTCTTTTCTTCTCTTTTTTTTCCTTTTTCTTTCTTCCTTATCCGATTTCCTCCATTATTATGTTTTCTCCATTTTCGTCACCAATTTCACTTGACAAAACTCATGAATTCCAATTACTAAGAAAATTCTCCCATAAGGTAATCAAGTTCCAATTTCACTGGCCCTCTAAATAAACGAAATTAAATTGTTCCAAAAATTATGGTTTAAACTTTAAAATAATAAAAATATCTCAACCTTTAATAATACTCAAAAGACCAAAATATTTAAATTATTTCCAGAAAGATAATTTAATGATTAAAAACCTAGAGTTCAAGTTGTAGTGTTATAAATTTAAGTTGTTAGTCTTTTTTCATCTTTTTTCAGCAGGACATTTTCTATTTTTTTTATTAACTATGTAAATTAGGGGTGTATATGGAACGAGTTGGTTCGGTTTTTATTAAAATCAAACCAAACCAATTATATCGGTTTGGATTATTAGGTTTTGTTGGATTTTTCGGGTTTTTTGTTACATAAATATTATTTCAATCTTACTTTGTTAAATGTTTAGAACTAAATATATGTTCAGTAAAAATTAAAAAATTGACAAACATATGATCTATAAAAAAAATTCTTATAGGAGAATGTTTTTAGTAATTGGAATTCATGAGTTTTGTCAAGTGAAATTGGTGACGAAAATGGAGAAGCCATGAAATCGGCTAAGGGAGAAAGAAAAAGGAAAAAAAAGAAGAAAAGAAAAAAGAAGAAAGAAAAGAAAAAGGTAAAGAAAAAAAAGTACTAATAAAAAGAAAATAGTGTTTGCAATATACTTTAATACAATTAACGAAAGAGCTAATTAGTTTGGGTGGATTCCGTTTTGAAAAGAGCATATATGAGCCAACTGTGTAACTCTAAGGGCATATATGGACCAACTATGTGACGGTAAGGGCATATTTGAGCTAAAGTATTAACGAAGGGCAAATGTGCTCAATTTCGTATAGTACAAGGGCATATTTGTACCTTTCCGTATAGTTAAACTCCTTCATCCGAACTAGTACTAAAAGAGAAGAGGCTCTTCTTTGGCCTAAATCTGAAGTTTGGAACTTCAAGTAAGCTCTAACTTAATGAAAGATCTTCGATGAAGACAATCTGGTTCATGCCATTTGGTTTGCAATCACATTTCTTCCCTGAATATATGAATAAAAAGGAAGGATCTTCTGTTTCAAATCCCTTATATGTGCCATGATGTTGTGACTTGTCATGGAGGTCTGACTTTCTTATTGATTATATTAACCAACACAAGAGAATCAGATTCAAGAATAATCTTAAGAAAATCTCTATCAATATATATATGCGATCCTTCTAGAATTACCTTAGCTTCAACCACATTATTACTATAGAGACCAAAGTAATCAACAAGGGCTAAAAGCATATGCCCCCGATGATCCCTTATTATGCCACCCCCTCCAGCACACTCAGGATTACCCTTACTATAGCCATCTACATTCATTTTCATCCACCCCTCCTCGGGCCTAGACTATATAACCAGTTGACTTTAATTTCTCCACATAAGCACACTTGTCCTCCCATATTGCAGGTAAATTTAACTTAGAGAATTGGCATTACAGAATCAATGACATTAAGTGACACACCTGCCAGACAGTATACCTACTATACATATGTAGATTCTCAAACCTTGCTGCACATTTGTTCTTTCATATTTCCCAGCTAATTATAGATGGAAGACATTATAACAGAACCCTATGTACTTCAAACTTCGGTGGATGCGCCGCTTCACTTAAAGGCGGATGAGTCAACCTTTTTAAGTGAAATAAAAGTTACTAAGTTAGTCACTTCATCTCTCTTTCTTACCCGCCCTTATTAGTAGTAGGTAACCTTTCTTCCAGCTTTTTCCAAGACTTTGGTATAGTCCCATCACAAACTCTTAACTGATGGTGTATATGTAGGGCGCAATATATTTAGCTAACTAATACATCTAATTAGTTATTCTAGACAGCTCATGCATCCATGTAGCGTGACTAACTCCTACAATCTCACTCATAACTATTTTACTCGTATCGCGTAGGGGGTTTCCAAACTGGCTTGATTGAGTGACTGTTCTATTGAGCGGCAATGTGTGATAGTGCATACGTCTGGATCTCCAGTGACATTACACAATGCTCAAGTCAGTTATTTGCATAAATAATAGCTGAAGTAGTATAAAAGTATTACAAAAGAAGCTTTTAGAAAGTGTGTTAAATATTTCGAGTGTGCAAAACACAGCCTCCTCTTGGATCTCCCAATGCACCTTATGATCTCAAGTGTGAGTTTGTTTGTGTGCTTGACTTGTATGTTTCTGCCTCCTTCCCGTAGTTATAGTATGTAAAGTTACTCATGCTTCTGCTGGGTGGGAGATTGCAGGTACAAAATAGAATAGTCCAAGCGCATATAAGCTAGCCAGAACATCATAATTTTTTAAAAAAAAAAAAGTTCAAAGGGGAATTTTGGTCTTGCCTCAAGCTAATAAAGTGAAGTGTTTCCCTCAATTCTCTTTGTTTTTGCACCTAAATAGGACTATAATCTATATGTGTGTCTATATATTATTTACAATCTATCTATCTATCTATACTATATTAAAAGTGAGAAGCTATTAAGTTAAAAGTTAAATTACTAAAATGCCCATTAAAAGTTAAAGAAATTTTAATAATTATATTTAAATAAAAAAATAATGAATTTGAAGAGTCCTTTCCTGAGAAGGTTGTAACTAACTTCTATAGTTAAAACAAACCTTTGCTTTCAAAATTAGTGCCCAATCGTAGGCAACCTAGTTATAAGAATATACTCTAAAGGATCGGAGTAGCCAACGCATAAGAATAGATGAAGAGAGAAATCAAATATTCTTCTTTCTGCCAACTTCTCAAAAGTTCGCTGCCAACGTACACATTTTGGGTGCTCTTTAGATTTTGTTTTTCTTTTTCAAGATATACTTTCTCCAATCAAATATATAAGTTTATATCATTCATTATTATAGCTTTTGAGAGACTTCCAAGATTAGTCTTGAGGTCTTATTCAACTGGACAAATTGGAGATGGTATCCTTCATGGTTAGAGCAGAGGTTTATTTCGATCGTCCATGATGTACAAATAATACTGTTGTGGTTTGATTATAAAAAAAATACAACTTCATCCATAAAAAGGTGAGATCAAATATAACTTGAGGTTTCAGTTTTCACAATTCACAACTTTTATTAAATTCATTACATACGTACCTTATATATTTAAACTCTTTATTCAATACTACAATCAAACCTCTCTATAATAGTCTCATTTGTTCTGAAATTTTTTGCCTGCTATAGTGAAATGCTGTTAATAGAGGATATATATTATAACATAATATAATATTCGGTTCCGAGAATAACTCGACTTTTATAGTGAATGACTATTATATATGAATGTTGTTATAGAGAGATCTGACTGTATTCACTAACCAATGTTCATTCTTTATACAATTAATTTTTTTACAAGAAAGTAGATACAAACCAGTATTCAATTAGATTCAGACGATATTCAATTATCTTGACCTCGGCAAATAAGTTACGGTATGATGATCTACATTGATCATTCACAAAAAATTATATTTTTATTTTTTGATATAAAATTATTTACTCAAAGTTTTATTTTATAATATTCATATATTCTTTTACAAAATCGTGTACTATATTACTTGGCATATAATAACTAAAAACAGAAAACTTTTAACTTAAAAAGTAAATTATGTAAAAACCCTCCTGACTTATCTAAATACCCTACTAATGCTTCATATCCTTTTTAACAGTTACAACCCTAAAGAAAATCTAACACGTACTAATAACTCCCAATTAAAGAAGGTAAATGGAATTATGTGTTTGCTTGGGAATTTGCAAAACTTTACAAAAAAAGAAAAGGAATTGAAACGGCGTGTTTAAAACTATTAAAATTACAAAGGCTAAAACTCAAAAGTTAAATTACATAATTGCCTTTTTGCTTAATTTAAATCTCCTACTAAGAAAAACATATTAATTAAATACTAAATTTATTTGAAGAGGTGTAACCTTTCATAGTAATATTAGTTCGTAATGTTCAATGTTGCTGCCTT